TGTTCAGACGTGACTGTCGTCGTAGATTGTTTCAATACACAAGTGAAGAAGCTAAATCAGACAGAAAGACACTTTTGGAAACCCAGTCGGATGTATGAATAGTGGTGATCACCTGCTAAGTATTCCTGGTAAGCAGAAACTTAAAACTTGAAGAGAGACGTTGTCTGAAGTCGTATCCATCGACCTCATCTCAGAGGTGGACAGAGATAGACCATATTGCTACTAGTTGTGTCATGAGAGGCTTAGTGGAAGGTTTCTGCTCCTTCTGGGACACGTTTTAAGACAACTATCCAGCACATGTATGTCTGCAGTTAAATGAACATAAGAAAACTACACCAATAACACCGTTACGAGTGGAACTTGGTGTTGAGAATACTGAGTCTGCTTCAGCAAAAAACTGGCCAGACATTTAACGGTACAGAACAATGTCACTCATCCAGATGAAGCCTGGTGTCACCTCCAGTCTGTCATAGAAATAACAATGAAAACTGTAGCCAACACTTAGAATGTGGTTTGAAAGGGTCAGTGGATCACACTAGCCTATCCAACGTTACTGAAGGAGGGTGAACACTTTCTTGTATGTATCGATAACAGTGAGGGGCAGAAGCATCTCAAGTGAAGACTGAGTAGTGATGCATAGTGAAAGCTAAACGGATGAAAAAAGCAGCGGTGATATGTAATAGCAGAAAATTATATTGACTTACCAAGGAAACTGGGACAATATGGCCAATGATTGCCGAGACAACAGACAAGAAGGAAGGGTATGTGATCTACTTACTACCTGGAACACTTTGACAGACAGATCAGCTGAACTCCGGCTTCTATGCCATTGCCTGTTATCCACTCGGGTTTTGTATGTATCGTAAAGACTGACTGTCCAACTCTTGCCGAAGTTGAGAAGGCCATCAATAACCCAAAACAATGAAAGACAGGAGGCCCAGATGGGATAGTAGGGGAGTGTTAGCCAGCGTATGGGAAACAGACATGATCACCTCTGAGTGATCTCAATCACCGTTTATTTGTCCTTAGAAAAGGTGAGAAGCCCTCCTGTGATAATCACATGAAAACTAGTCTGATCAACAGTGTCCAAGATTCTAGGTTCTATATTCATTACACGCACCACTGAAACTGGAGAAGAGAAAGTTCAAGGAAACCAGGCAGATTTCAGATATGGTCGTGTGCATATCAACCAGATATTCATTCTCCTACAGGTTTCGGAACACATACACATTTAACGACGCCCGACAGCAGCTGTGTTTCTCAGTCACAAGGCGGCATTTGAATAAATGAATCGAGAGACTGTAGGAAAGTTTCCATCGATATAAAGAGTGCCGAGTTACGGCGCTGCTTTGTCGAAGGTGTCATAGTTGAATACCAGTGGGCTTGTCAAAGCCTGTGATGAGTTATTTGACGGGTTGTGTATTTTGAGCTGTGAACGTTCTTATTCAACTTCGTCACAGAATAACCTATGCAGGTTTCTCTTTCGTCGTCTGACTTTACAAGGATTTATCTTGTGAAAGGAAAAGCCTTGGAATATCTAGAGTACATAGTTGATATAATCCTGAAGGGTGAAGACGTTTACAAGATGGAATGTTTTATTCACACATTGAGTGGCCACTTGAGGTGGTTTGGGATACGTCTCTCTGTACCCAAATATAAATTGTTATTCCAAGAATGGAATTCACTGCAGCTTTGTTTAGCAGAAGGGAGTGAAGTGATTGAGCGCGTTGACCATTTTACTTACCTAGGAGTTCGAACCATCCCTGGTGGTTCAGTGACCTACGAAATCTCGACACGAATACCAAAGGCTCGATAGGCTCAAACCCTAACCCTAATCTACATTAGAAGAGATGATATCACATTAAATTTTTCTTGATGAATCCAACTGTGAAACAGAATTCGATATACTACTATTTTTGCTGTGTTGATTTTCACTGTTGTTTGACTTTTAATTCAGCTCTCCTACTTGACCTCTTTTCATATTCTCATCCCTTATTTCTGAATGAATATTTATATAAATGTCTATGACAAGTACGTGAGTTTGATCAGATTAGTCGAAATGTAAGACTTCAAACAGCGAAATATTTCTATAGTGTTGATAAAAGGCAGCAATCTGAACAATGAAGAATATTTTATTCAATAAATTGTCTTTTCAGATTCTACAATTATAAAATCCATTTGTATAGCGTGAAATTAAACTATACTAGGGGCAGATACATTTTTAAAATAGAGTGAGATTTAGAGATTGTAAAGTAATCGACTTTCCCTTGCTAAATTACTCAATATTGGGATGATATATATATATATATATATACAGATGAATGATAGGATGGTGGAACAAAAAGATAACAAATAGAAAGGCAAGGATAACCTTTAGTTTACTTAAGCTAAAATAAAAAAGTAATGCTTCGCCATGTTCTTTGTGAATTCAAAGTTGAGGTTTGATCAACCTCATGGCGACAGCTTCCGATATGTGGAGGAGGCGTTGGCTAGCTACCTATGGTATCGTTTTTAGAACACGATAAATGGCATTGAAAGCATTATTAGCATCTGTGTGATGCCTTGTGTCGACTAGATGCTCTAAGACTGGACCGATCAGCATTTACAAGCCTAGCTCACAAATGGCGAGATGAAAGTAGTGAGAAGTAGACTGTTCTAAGTGTGTTGCGCAATTACACTATACAATTCAGAGAATTAACATATTGTTATTATTTTGTAAGAGTGTATTTATTGTTATTATTCGTCCCTTGGGTTTCTTATGGAACATACGGCTTCAGTAGCACGCTTCCATTACACTCTCTTCTCTGAAATCTTTCAAACTGGTTCCACGACAGCCTACAAGCTATCATTTCTTCCTCACACACTCTCCTTCATGTCACACTCACCTCGAACGCCCAACTCACCGTTTCCTATTGGCGTTCCACTCGAGTGCCTGGCCTGGCACGTGATGTCTTCAATCATCCTTCTCAGTGTATGCCCAATCCAATCCATCTCCACCTTCTTCCACTGCACATATGTGTTGAGTGATAGGTTCCTGGTTGGTTCTTTGACAGCCAGCCAGCCAGCCAGCCAGCCAGCCAGCCAGCCAGCCAGCCAGCCAGCCAGCCAGCCAGCCAGCCAGCCAGCCAGCCAGCCAGCCAGCCAGCCAGCCAGCCAGCCAGCCAGCCAGCCAGCCAGCCAGCCAGCCAGCCAGCCAGCCAGCCAGCCAGCCAGCCAGCCAGCCAGCCAGCCAGCCAGCCAGCCAGCCAGCCAGCCAGCCAGCCAGCCAGCCAGCCAGTCAGCCAGCCAGCCAGCCAGCCAGCCAGCCAGAATTCCTCCCTGCTTATTCTTTCTAGCCATCTGATCTTCAGTATCGAGTGAGCGTAGGTAGTTGATGAATATGTGTAGTTTGTTGGAAATCCCTTTCGTAACGCGCCCCCAAGTCTCCCAACCATCACATAGAAGCACTGACTCACTTGACTGAATCAGTGTTGAAAATCCCGATGCTGTTGACGCTTTATGCTGAGTGCAGAAGATCTCTACACTGATTATTTCAGATTAATGGACGCCTGTCTTGGTGTCTTTCCGATCCTGACTGGCTTTGACATCCTCGTCTGTGCCTGTATCGCCTGTAGTTGAAAAGATGTTGCCCTACCTATGTGGTAAGTGAAAGATACTACTTCCTTTAAGTTTCTCCCATTGATGGTGATTGGAGCTTGTTGTTGTTGTTGGTTGTGGTGGTGGTGTTGGTTGGGTATCTTGATCACCTCTGTCTTCTGTACGTTCACTTGAAGTCGTGTATTCGCTGCCTTGCCTCTTCTGTCAACTTGTTAATTTTCGCCTGTAGATATTCAAGTTTTTCTGACATTATAGATATGTCATCGGCGAAATCCAAATCTTTCAGGATCTTTTCTCTGGTCCAGCGTTTGTCCATCTTCCCGTTCCTCACTGTTTGCTGCATGATCCAGTCCAGTAGACCACAATCAGGAATATCATTCTTGATAGTAGACACTTTAAAGGCGTCACTGAGCTTCTCATTGTGAATTACTCGACCGGTAGCGTCTTCATATAATAGGCTGGGATAAGCTGACAATTCTCAAATACGATATAGCTTAGTCAAGATAGAGATTGATTACAGAATCTTTTCTCATTGAATCAACCAGCACCTAACATAAATGTAACAGGAATGATTCATTGCTTATCATGGTTATTTGGAAAATTTCACTACTATCAGAATTAAGGATTTAAGAACTGTTATACTATCTAAGTGACGTTTGAAAGTCAAATAATTATTGTGATTTGAAAATGAGCGATAAATTCTGCTCGAAATATCATCCAGTAAATAATGCTGTTTCACTGTGTGCTGGTTATATTAAATAAACAATGTAATATAGGATTAACATGAAACTATCCTTTACCATGCTGTTCAAGACCGTCTCTTATAAACGCAGAATGCTTAGAAAAGAATATCAGAAGGTGGAATCGTAGCCTGAAGTAAGAGATTTCAGCACCACTTGACACAAGCTTGAACCTTTAACTGCGAGAAAGTTACTTAAAGCAAGTAGATACGCTTTTATGACAAGTACTTAGGTGCACAAAACCTACGCCAACCGGGTTATCTATGAAATGACTGACATACACTAGAACTTCTCACCTAAAGGTACTCATATTTATATCCAGATAATCGATATACATTGATACTTATTGAAGTAGCAATAGGTGGAAGTATGGACCACTGGATTCCAACCCACTCGCTCAAAGGCATCGTGATGGTCGCGAAATCTGAAGGTTCTGGGTTCGACCTCTGGCGGGGTGGGGTCATAGGTATACATCGCTGAGGAGTCCCATGTTAGAACGAAACATCTGTCTAGTATTCTGAAGTTTCCAATAATTCTCCAAATGACATCAGTCCGTGATGAATGCCAAAGTGAAATGAATAAATCAATCTCCATGAATTTCCAAATTGAATTTTATATATGTATATATATACATATCTGTATTACTAAAGCTTATTCACTTACTTCTTTGATATGGTGTAAGCGGTCGTGCTGAATAGACAGCATTTAGGCATATTGTCAAAGAAAGATATATACAGCATACGAATACATTCATTTCCTGTATTATATTCCAATTGTGATAGAAGGAAATTGGACTTAAACACGTGTCGAACGAAGGTTGTTACATATACATATATGAATTTCAATACCATGCATTGGGATAAACTACATTCGTCTCATTTTGATTGGTTAACTAATTTAATTTGACCTTAAGTGGTCGATAACATTCTAATGTTGTGATTGGTTAACTATTAGATTATGACCTACAAATTGTAGGCTATTTTCAATAGCCTGCAGAGAATGTAGTATAACCAACAAATACTGCATATCAGTATGGATGAGCATTTGAAGAATTTCTAAATGATAGAAATTATTGACTGAGGAAATAAATAAGATAGGAGAGAAAATGAAAATAATTTCAGAAAATGCTAATTAATCTCATTTATATGGTTTTTTGTATTTTCCGATAAATGAAAAACAAAACAAAGTTGTTTTTAATGTTGTTGCTTGTATTATCCAGTCGTTGATTGGACCGAATTGACCGGTCTCTATTGACACATAGGCTCCTGCGCGGATACCTCGATAGTGCCTGTGTTTCAGTTATATACTAGGGATTCCACTGTTAGCCACTGTACCGGGCGCACAAGACGTGGCCATCGTGGTTCAATGGTTTAATGGATAACTTTCTGGCATTTGAAGCAAACAGTCGCAGGGCCGAACCCCGGTGGGAATAGATCCCACTCACTGGGAGGCTGGTGGATCCAGCTGACGAGTCCTAAACAAGACGAAACGCACATCCTAGGCTCCACTGTTACCCACTATCTATCATTAAGGTTATTTTTATTGATGGATATTACAATCTCCAAGCTCATATTTATTGACAGTTGAAGTTTCCTATTGATTCAGTAGCCTTAGAGATGAAGCTCTGTCGTATGAATAGATGGGTGTTGGGTTCCAGTCGGATTTTCAACAGTATCATTCACTCAGATGAAGTTGCATGTGGCTGATGAGCCTTAAATTGGACGGAATGGATGTTTGTTTTTAGACACCATCATCAAAGACCAGCATAACACTGAAACGTTTTCGCCAGCAAAATCTCTAGCGCACAGAATAAGTCAGTCTGAACATCCCTACTTTCAGCTATAAATATTCTCGACAACTTCAGTGTATATCATACGGCTTCTGATTGTTCATTTCCACCTTCAAACAATTATCTAACCTATATATTTCTTAAAGATAGTGTTTCGTCAAAGTATGAAGTATACACTTTGAGTAGGATCTGAAATAACATTCGACGTTGAATAACAAAAATCAGCAATTTTACAGTTACCTTTTTGTTACTAAATGAATGTACATTGGTACTGTTCAATGAGTTCAATTTAATTGTCTAGGTGGTATTGTGTTCTTGTCTCAAAATGTATATATTACAATTTCTCTTCATTCAAACTACAATCGAATAACACAGATAAACAATTAACACTCTGGAAGTTATACCCACACATGAGAGTACATAGTCTACTGTATAGGAGACGTGATATATCTGAGCTTATTCCATCGTATAACTGTACGTGATTAATGTCAATGAGTGTACCAGTAGGAAGAAACAGTTGTCCAGTACTCGCAGGTTTTCATTAGTCTTCCAGCTGTTAATTTAATGGGTACTACTGATAAGAATGCATATAAGTAGTATTTATTGAGGTTGGAAGAAGTCACAGACAATTACAACGCACGAGTAAATATTCTGTCCAGAGAAACGCAAGAGATAACATGGGCATATTGAAGGTGAAAGGAGATAGAAGAAGAAGAAGAAGAGGTGATGAAACATATTGTGCAGATGAATATTTCAATGGAAAGATGATGTATAGTAATCTACAAAGTGTCCTAATAAGAGACATTTTTCTGCGTTTCATCCCATGGCTTTTTCTTCTACTGATAGGCGATTTGGTATGAAAGTTCTTTAAAAATATTGCGAAGCTTATAAGCCATTTACAGTCAGTTAGTGAAGTGAACAGAGATTAATATGGTACAATTGCTTGTATTATCCTGTCGCTGAATTAACCGAATTTATCGGTCTCTATTGGCATATAGGCTCCTAAGCGAATGCCTTGATACTGCAACAAACAGTGAAGAGCTAGAAGAGGAGGATACGCTGGCTGCACCGATGGAAAGACCACAGAAGAAGATTTGGATTTCTCTGATGACTTGTGTATAATGTCAGAAAAACTTGAATATCTACAGGCGAAAATTAACAAGATGACAGAAGAGGCAAGGCAGCAAAGATACGACTTCAAGTGAACGTACAGAAGACAGAGGTGATCAAGATACCCAACCAACACCACCACCACCAACAACAACAACAAGCTCCAATCACCATCAATGGGAGAAACTTGAAGGAAGTAGTATCTTTCACCTACCAAATAAGCAGGGTAACATTTTTTCAACTACAGGTGACGCAGGCACATACGAGGATGTCAAAGCCAGTCAGGATCGAAAAGACACCAAGACAGGTGTTCATTAATCTGAAATAATCAGTGTGGAAATCTTCTGCACTCAGCATAAAGCATGAACAACATCCGGATTATCAACACTGATTCAGTCAAGTGAGTCAGTGCTTGTATGTGATGGTTGAGAGACTTGGGGGCGCGTTACGAAATAGATTTCAAACAAAATACAGACACTCATCAACAACTGCTTGCGCTCGTTACTGAAGATTAGTTGGCCAGAATAATAAGAATAAACAGGGAGGAACTGTGGCTGGCTGGCAAAGAACCAACCAAGGAGCTATCACTCAACACATATGTGCAGTGGGAGAAGGTGGAGATGGATTGGATTGGGCATACACTGAGAAGGCCGATTGGTAACATCAGGTGCCAGGCAAGGCACTCGAGTGGAACGCCAATAGGAAACGGTGATTTGGGCGTTCGAGGTGAGGGTGACATGAAGGAGATTATGTGAGGAAGAAATCATAACTTGTGGGCAGTTATGCGACTAGGTTGAAAATATTTCAGAGAAGAGAGTGGAATGGAAGCGTGCTACTGAAGCGGTAGGTTTCATTAAGAACTCAAGGGATAAATAATATATTATATATAATAATGGATAGTGAGTAGCAGTGGAATCCCTTGATGTGCATTTCGTCCTATTTGGGACTCGTCAGCTGGATGTACTTGCCTTACAGTGGGTGATTTTATTCCCACCAGGATTCAGACTCGGGAGCGATCGCTCCAAATGCCAGATCGTCATTTACTACACCACCGAAACACAATAGTCACTTCTTGTGCGATGGGTATAGTTTTGGTGTTGTTGCTTATAGGTATATCCAGCTGACGAGTCCCAAATAGAAGGAAATGAGCATCCTGGATTCCACTGCCGATCAATATCCATCTTTACTACAGAGTAACATACTTCGTGATTTAACGTCCGTGGTTGATTAGATGGAAATGGGAATATTTTATCATGGACTGACATCACTTGGAGGAATATTGAAAATCTGGGAATACTGAATAGCTGTTAAGTTCTAGTATGGGACCCCTCAGTGTGCACCCATGAACCCACATTACCAGAGATCGAACCCAGTACCTCCAGACTCCTTGGTCAGCACGTTGCCAGAGTCTGCTATTGCATATTTCCCACTTCTCTCATTTCACGATATGGTGCGACCATTGCGCAATGTCACTGTTGAATATTTGTCCTTATGACCACTAGGATTGCTTCATAGATCACGACTTCTCATTGGAACTTAAGGAATCGCCTGTCGAAGCTAGTCACCAATGAGTACTAGTTTCCGTTGTTGACTGGAACAAATTGATTGACCACCATTGACCTACGGATTCGTAAGTGGATAGCTTTATTATGCCTTTTGTCTCAGTTTGTCAATACCGATGGATAGTGGCTGGGAGTAAAATCTGGGATGTGCGTTTCGTCCTTCTTGACACTCATCAGTCGGATGTACCTGTCTTCTACTGAATAATGTTGTTCGTATTAAAACGCCAGAGCGTTATATATTAGGCTAACTATTCACGTTAGTAGATTCTTGTGTGATGGGCATAGTTGCTATGTTATCATTTAAGAACTGGCTGTCATGATCTACTGGCCTAGTGGATAACACTCCAGTGTTTGATTTGATTGGACCTGGGTTTGAGTTACAGTAGGGGAATCATCTCCCATTTGGAGGCATGTAAATGCAGCCGACGAGTCTCAAATTCGACGAAACACGTGTTCCAGATTCCACTGCCTATGAGAGGTGAAATGGAGTTGAACCCATCACCCGGTGGTAGAAGTTCAACTGCCAAAAAATTCACCGAATAGGTTGTTCCAGTATATGGTGACTAGTGTACGCAGTATACTGACAAAATTCCAATGATAAACAACGGTAATTGGTTACTGATCTAACGAATATTGATACTATGTTGAGTTTAGTTAAATTTCAGGGTCTAGAGAAAGTGAAACCAGACTTTTTGGTTTGTTTGGGTCTGACAGAAGAAGGCGTTTGGAACTTCTGGAGTACTTTCGCTGGCTTCTTTATCATAGTGAGGAAATATCCATCGAAAAAAGACTACCATTTGGGCATTCCAAGTAGCAGTGTCCGTTCGAAAGAATTTGGTAGATACAATAATTATTCAGGGCTTTTATTGTTAGTCAGTCCGTTAGACACACTACGATGGGCATCACTATGAAAAAGCGAGAAAAGTAATGAGAATGTAGTGAAATCGAGTGTGAACATTTTAAACGAAGTTGGTGTAGGGATACATCTGCACGAATGAGGTCGATTGTGAACCTATTCACCAATGCATGATTTGGTTCTCCGGTTGGCTGTAACCCTACCAACAGCCATAGACTTCACTATCACTGGAGTAATATAGGAAAATACTATCAAAGAACCAATCGTGGGTTAGCTGTGGCAGGAATAGCTTATTGGTATGGCTTTTGGCTTAAGCACCAGGTGACACCAGTTAGAATTTTCGTAGAGTGTGAAGCTTCTCAGGAATTTAAATACCTCCCAGTAGTCAATCTCAAGAGGCAAGAGAGCTAGGGAAGATAGAGTTCACTGTAAAATTCACTACCCAACATCTACTGATATGATTATCATAGATCTTTCTACTGAATGAAAGCTAAACTGTGGAGGAATTCGAACCGACTGTATGAGTTTAATAATCCGCTGCACAAGTT